TTTCATTCCGATTCTTTTCTTGCCTACCGAGGCTCCCTCCTCGGCCCTTCAGAGCGGGGACACAAAGTCCCGAGCGCGCCGAGCTGCCCCAGGCCTGCCGCCCCCGGCACGCTCCCTCCCGCCGTCCTGCCCAACGGTGCAGCCCGCGGTGCCCGTCACTCCGCCCCCGCGTCGGATCCCCAAGGACCTCTCGGCGCCCGCGGGCTCTAGACCCTCCCTCTCTGCCCTCCGGACGCCCCCCCTCCTTTCTCGACGTTGCGGCTGGAAGGGGGGAGGTGGGGAGCCAAAGCTGAGCCTCCTCCAAAGCCCGGCCCCTCCCCACCCCGGGCGGCAGCCTTCCTTCTGCGTCAGTCGCCGCTGACGGGCCTGACGCGTGGCGGGTCCCACGCGGAACCCAAGTGCGCGCTTGGCTGGGGAGGGCCCGCGGGCTGAACGTCAGGCCTGGGGGCGGAGGGGGGCTGGCGTCACTCGTACCCAGAGCGCAGCTGGGGGCGCCCGCCCGCTCCCGCGCCAGCCCGGGACGTCTGCGCGCCCTGCGCGTCGATGCGCTGCCCGGGCGTACGCACCACTCTCACGCGGCACTTTCGCGGGAGTGGCTCTAACGCAAATTGGGGAAACTGGGCAGAGCCTTTCGTAGTCGTGACTGTCCCTGGTGAAAGCTGGCCCAGGGCCCGCGGGGAGGCCCCTTAAAGTTCTCGCAGCCTGGTTTTGCCCCGTGGAAACGGGTGTGTTTCGAATGTAGCTCCAGACAGGCCCCCCCTCCCCCCACTCGGTTTCCCCTTGGCTCCCAGCGCCCACCGAGTTCACGCAGAGCCCTCCGGGCTTCTTGGCTCCGCCTGCTCTCCTGACCCTCCCGCAGCCAGAGCGCACCACAGACCCACCCCAAGCTCCCGTACTCGCCTGGTGTCCTTAGGGGCGGCCTCCGGGGGGCATTAGATGCCTCCCTCCCGGCCCGCCGCGTCCTGTGAGAGGGGTCGGGTGATTTCCCAAGGTCCAAGGAGATTTTATGAGCCTCAGTTTCTCCAGCTTTAAAACTGGGAGTTTTTGAAAGGTGGTTGTCAATGCTAAATGAGATAACTCGTGGAAAGCTCTTGCACAGTCGTTCAATACTGAGAGCTTAGTGTTAACTCAAAACTACCGTAGAGCGCGGCCCGAAACGCGCGAGGCAGCTCTGAAGGAGGTCTCTTCAGGGAACCCACCCTCCTTCGCTAACGGTGCGGACCTTGGGTCCCCAGCCGTCTCCCCCCAGAGGGGCCGGGCTGGCGAGCCTGGGGACGGAGGCTGGGGGGCAACTGGGCGGTGCAGGGAGGGGCCTTCCCGGTGCCCCGGCGCTCGCCGCAATCTGCCGCCGCAGCTTCGCCCGCGGGCGGCGCGGCATTGTCCTCGCGCCGCGTGGGGACCGCTCAGCCACGTGCCACGGCGCCCACCCCGAGGCTGAGGGTCGGGCTGCTGGCGGCGGGGAAGGGACCAAGTGCTTTCCTAGCTCCCCAGCCCCAGGCCAGGGGTTACCCTAATTAGACCCCCAGGAAGGAGGGAGGGGAAGCGGTTTGCCTACGAATCCCCTTCTAATTTCCAGGCTGCACCTTTGTAAAGGCGTTTTCCCTCTCTCTGGATTATAGCCATTGCTTTGTACCAAAAGCAAAGTCCATCTTTTTATCACCACAGCCGCCCCCGCCCCCGCCCCTTCCAAGTTCGGCACACGTCCTGGGGTGGCCTCGGGGATGGCCAGCCCACCGCCCGGCTGCTGCGGATCGGGATGTGGAGGGCCTCTAAGACCTCGGGCTTCCGAAGCAGGCCTGGCTGGGGTGGATTTTTATGGACAGGCTAAGAAGAAAGAATGAGTCTCCTTTGACTTTGAAAGTGACCTAAGAACCAGGCCAGTGTTGGAGATAATTTTCTTTTTATTTCTCAAAAACATTTTTCAGAGGAGCTTCACAAATACAATGAGGACAGTCATAATTTTACCCAGAAATTTCTCTTGTGTTAATAGAGATAAAACAGGAATGCACATGCTAGACCTCAGTTTTTGAGAGAGAATCCAGGATCCCTCTAGACTGGTTGTCTGGAGGGGTAGGGCTGTGAGAATCCGAAGTCCGAGTGCGCGCAGGTGTGCGAGGCCCTTACCAAAGCAGCGCCCACCCGCGTGCAGCAGCCACCGCGGGGCTGTGGCGCTGCGTGCAGACCCTCCATCGTTTTAGGGGTAATATTGCGGAATCCGCCGCCCGCAGATTTGGAGAGGCAGCTGCGGGATCTAGTGGAAGAGAAAGACCGAAAGCTGGCGGTGATTTAACTCCTTCCCCGGCGCCCACCCCGGCAGCAGAATCCGCTCTGCGCCTTGCCTGGGGTGCAGTGGGACGTGTCCTTCCCATGTTTCCCTTAATTAGCGAAAGGCAAACTTCTGTCGTCTCCGCCCGCCGGCTTCGGTTTAGTAATCAGACCCACATGAGTCACGCCGAACACGCAGCCCCCTCCCTCCCGAGTGACAGCAGCGGACCGGCGGACTCTCGGCTGTTGTCCCTTTAAAACTCGAATCCATGGGGGTAATGATTTATCAAACTTGTATTATCAAGAAAATGTCACACGAAGGGCACCTTGCTTTGCACTGACGCAAACCTGGCCTTTCCCAAGGAGATATAGAAAGCGCCGCCGCTGCCGGAGCCAAACCCAGCCTTGTCGATCGCTGGTTTCACTCGCCACCTATTCAATCTGTTGCCCGCGCCAGACATGGTGAGTGTCTGCTTTTGTTCTTTTGAGAGAGGGGGCTGCGGGGTTCGGAGGGGCGGATTCGCCTTTGAATGCTTGTTTTTGAAGTGATCTGTGCGTTTCGGACGAAGGAGGGAGGACGGCTGTCACAGCCGCAGCGTCTGCACTCGTGAACATCACCTGAGGTGGGGAAGAGGTTTGCAAAGCTGGGGAGCTGCGAGGTTGGCGGGCGCCCTGCCGTCCGGACCCCGGGCGCTGTCCTCGGTGCTGAATCCAGGTGCCGGTCCCGACGCCGGTCGCCCTGGGTCCTAGAGGCTATTGAGACAGGAATGCTCACTGGAGTCGAGGTACTTAGATTGGTGCAAATGAAGGAGTTCTGATGGGTGCACCTGTGAAAGAAGGCTCGACGAGAGGTGTGCAGTTGAGCTGAAGATAATAAGGTTATTCTCACTGTATAATAGTAATTATTCGTGCTAATGTTTAGGAAGCCTCGAAAGATAAGGGGAGGGGAGAAAGCGGAGGGAAAAACCACCGCTGGTAGTTCTTTCCATTTGAACCTCAATTGGGAGAAAGCAAATGAAAATGAGTTGTGAGTTTTGGTCCCCAAGCAAGTGTAGGGCCATGAAGGATATCAGAATTCTGTTAATAGT